GACAAAAAGGAAAGAATTTTTTAAAAAATAATAAATTTGTAAAATATCACGAATGTGATAATCAAATTAATTTAAACGCATGCGTTAGTGTTATTGTGTTCCTGGATTCGATCTATGTTAATCCAGAAAAGGCGCCTCAAAATGTTATAAGCAGACGGAGTAAATTCGTTCAAAACATGTTTCAGCTCATTTTTCTTAATAGTATAAAATTTCTGTTCTTAATTAATCGTGCTTTAGGATTCCCACTAATATATATTCATTATTTTCTTAATTATTCGGACTCCAATCTCCCCATTGGCATATATATGTTCATTACTCATTACTCTGCTTAGTTGTTGAACTATATATATCGCCACCGTTGAATATTCGATTACAGATTTACATTAAAAAGCTAGACTTGTACTCAATAAAATAGCGAGACTTGTATAAGACATACGAAACATGCATGACCAGTTAAGCTAAGATAGCAATAACGAAAAAAAGATAACAATAAGGGAAAATATATCCTGAGAGAGGGTATATCCGTGGGCTGCACCTTTCTTTGGGGATTAGTCTCGACTTCTCCATGGACCTAGGATATCCCCAGATTAAAAAAAAAAAGGGAAAATATAGTTTTAACTATGTACGAATCCTCATTAAAATTGTTGAATATGAATTATTGATTATTTCCCAGTTAACTGGAAACAAGTACAATTAGAACATCTCCAACCAGTCACTTTATTTTAAAGGAGTAACCAACATAAAATGAAGAGATAAATGATTACTTCTCCAATGGTATTCTTTAAAATATTTATACTCTTAAAACATTTATTTACATATTACATTTGAATCCTTAATATTATTAATAATTTACTATAATCACTAAACTTTTATAAAGAAACAAGTAACATACATTTTAAATAGATAATAAATAAATATACTCTCTGAAATAAACACTAAATAAGATAAAAATATTCTCATAGTTGGCCTACACCATTCAATATATTTTATATCTAAACAACCATTCAATAAATTTTATATCCAAACAACCACTAAATTTCCTAAATATAATATTATTGTTTTCTGAAATAATATGTTTATGTAATATTTTTATTAAATTTGTGTGCTTAATAATTCTATTTATTTTATTAATATGTGAAATTAACTTTATAAAATCAAATATTATAATAGTTAGATGCTAATATAATAAAAATAAAAGAAAATAATGTTATATACATAATCATTAAACTTATATAAATAAAAGGACTAAATGTGAAAAGTGAATAGTGTTTAAAATGATCAACAGTGATCCTTTATATTTGAAGTGTCACTATTCACTCATTTAAAAGATAAAAGGATAAAGAGGAGTTGAAATGCAAAACCCTTTAAAAAAATAAAAGGTAAAGAGTGGGTTGGAGATGTTCTTAGTCTTTGTCTTCGCATCCAAATTTCACGCAAAACAATCTTGCCTAACTTGTCCTACGAAATAAAAATAAAAATAAAAATATAATATATAATTACGTTCCTTATGTCAAATGTACCAAATTCATTCGAGCTATGTGTGTTTCACCTTCTCTACCTATCTGATCGCAGATGGAACACCTCACAACCACATAATCAAAATCTAAAAGTTTAAAATGTTACAAAAATATTTTTTTAGTTGTAAGTTATTGTACGTCTCACGTAGTTCGACATATGATTTACATGGCAGCTAATTGTATCACGTCTCTTAGAAAGCTTAATGGTCGTATCGTATCCCTAATTTTCTTCTCAATAAGCCATCTTAAGTCTTTGTTCAAAAAAAAAGCCATCTTAAGTCTACTTAAGACAACTACAACCGCTAGTGCACAAAAAAAAGACAACCACAACCTTAGCTCCATTCAGTTTCATCGTCTATTTTATTTTTGGCCAATCATCTGCATATATTTAATCAGAAATTGGAGACAATATTAAAAATCACTAAAATAATTTCCCTGAAATCTCCAAGACCCATTTCCCCTCAAGTTATGCATGCATACACAGATATATATATATATATATATATATATATGAATATATGTTTTAGCAAAAAAACATATAGTTTCTGAATATTGCAGCGAGGTGGTCGCAAGCTGCAGACGCCATTGTTTCAAAGTTTGAAGACATCTTTCTCTCGATAGCATGCATGGTTCTTTTCTTCGACTTGTCCCGGTTTCTCTTGGTCCGAGCATGTTTCGTTGCTTAGCTGAGTTTAGGCATTTTCCGTCATCTCTACGGTTGGGTCCTTTGCCGTATTAGTGGTTATTTGTTTAGTTTAAATTTCTGTATACTACTATAAGTTTTATCTTTGTAAATTATGTCACAGATTAAAAATTATATAAACTTTAACATTATATATATATATTGCAGTCGAGAAGTTATGCATGCATATATGATCGATAGTGTGTAGTAAAATGATTTACTTCCATATAATGTTTTTAATATGTTTGGTAAACTGATTTGTTCTCTACATACAAAATATTAAATCTCGAGAAAGTATCATTTCAAGTTTTTGAAATTCATAATTAGATTTAGATCTTAGTTAAATTTACAAAAATTGGTACATAACAACATGGTTAGAGTACTTGTGCTATTATAAATACTAACTGCAGACGATATTTTGATACAACATATTCATTTACTAGTCCAATACATCCAATATTCCAAATATAAGTAAATAATTTTCTCAGATACGTATCAGAAATGGTCTAATTAATATGATATCGTGCATATGCGTTAAATTTTCCATGTTAATATGATCTTTTATTATGGACTTATGCTGGTGAGTTCTAGTGTGTGACGAATATGCCATTGTGGACTGGCAAAGTCCAAATCTCATGAAGAATAAAATAACAAAACAATTGAAGCTTTGTTGTATTGTATGTTTCCTTTTTTTTGAGCAAACAACTGTATTGTATGTTTCCTATGAATATTATAAATAAACGTCAATTTTGCTCCACCATCCTGTAGGGACCACAGAGAGTCCAAGTTCTTTGATGACATGGCAGAAGGAGAGCCGTGCACCTGTCAGTCGACAACAAGCAAGGAATCTTGACGGTTTGTTAGCGGGTGCTAGAGCCTCCAATAATCAGTTTGCTCGTCAATTAAATGACTTATCTACCCTTGGTTCACTATTCCAATTTAAATTGCTGTGATTTTATTGTTTTATTAATCCATCCTTAATGTGCGTTCTTAAATAAAACTTCAGGTATAACTGTTGAAAAAAAAACCTTCAGGTAGAAAATCTTGTTCAGTATAAAAATGAGAAAATCTAGCAAGAACAAGATGGAAACATATGACCGTTGAAAGAAAGGATGATAACTAGTTTAACTGCGTTCCAAGAAAAGAAAAACTAGTTTAACTATTAATTAAATAAAATATTTAACTCTAAAACCAAGTGTCAAAAAAACACTATTCTCTGTTAAGAATATAACATAGAATAGTGATTTTTTGTGCAAATAGAATAGTGATTACTTCTACTTTTTCATGATTAGCTTTTACGCACTAGCTGTTGGAATAATTATAGTGATATCAACATAAGATATTTTGTTGAAGCATATCGTGGTGTGGTCAGTGGTGTCTAAAGTTAAATGCAATTACAACAAGAGATTAAACTAATAAACAATATTTTCGTAGGCAATATCATTTTGGCCAACTCATACACAATGTGATTTATATAGCTAGATCTAAAACTCAAAATACCAAATATCATAACTTTTGGACCATTGCATTATATAAAGAATACTTTGCAATTCTATTGATTTGCAAAGCAAAATATATAATTCAATAGAATAATTGAGATCAAATAGTGGCAGTTGTTCAGTAGGCTAATCAAATAATGGGTTGGTGAAGCTGGAGTATGGAAGGTGTTACAAAAGTTGTTCACGTGCAGAATATGAAATATAAAATAAAAGATGAAATTATGATTTATGAATGTGCTATATACTTTGAAAACCTATTAGAAAACATAAAAAAATTAAAATTTAATTTGAAAACCTATTAGAAAACATAAAAATTTAAAATCTTGGAACTTAAATTTGTAAAGAAAGTTGAAAAAATTGTATCGAATCAGATATTTTGTATACTATCTCGAAAGGTTATTTCATTATTAACTATATATTTGTTAAAAGATAATTAGTTTTCTCAAATAGGTTTAATATTTTCAATCGATAAAACTAGTATTTTCAATCGATAAAACTGTGGAGTAGTCAAAATATTTAAATTTGAATATTTTTTCAGTTATGTTCAGTATCTTCAACCGATAAAACTGTGGAATAATCATAATACTAAAATTTGAATGTGTTTATGCATGTTAAGTTCATAACCATGAAAAGTGTTTTGATAATTATATTTATATTATATGTATGTATATATATATATTTTACAAGCGTAGAAACACTAAAACTGATAAATAAATAAATATATATATGAAACAAAATTTATGTATTTGGTTAAAGGAAAAAAATGTATGTATTTCTGTAAAATTTGAAATTTCAGCTTAAAATGTTTACGTTTTGAAATAACGAAATACCCCCCAACATATTTCTCTTTTATTTTCTTGACATACATACCTATAATACATAAATATAAAAATTCACTGCTGTGTTTAGCAAAAAGAAAGTTTGACTTACATGTTGTCTAATTAAATACTAAAATAACTATTTGTAAATTTATGTCAACATATAAAAATAACTTTCGTTTATGATAAACATCTGTTTAAACATAACCTCCTGACTATTTTAGACTGAAAACGTAAATTGTTGACAAAATTTTAATTTGACATATTATTCACCTTATTTGTTAAATTTTAATTTGACATATTATTCACCTTATTTGTTAATGATTCTATTAAACATCATAATGATTCCAGTCCCGTATGACACGTAAAACAGATTCTATTAAAACCTCACTATTATTTCCCAAGGGTACTTTCGGTATAACTAATTTTCCCCTATAAAAGCAAACATCAAGTGACACTTAGACAACTCGTCCCTGAAATCCCTCACAGAGCTCAGGCACCACTTCCCTCTCGCCACCACCGCCATGGAACCGCAAAACCAAATCCTCCTCGGGAAATACGAACTCGGTCGCCGTCTCGGCAGCGGAAGCTTCGCCAAAGTCCATCTAGCACGCTCCATCGCAACCAACGACCTCGTCGCCGTCAAAATCATCGACAAGAAGAAGACAATCGACTCCAACATGGAGCCGAGGATCATCCGGGAGATAGACGCGATGCGTCGTCTCCGCGACCATCCAAACATCCTCCAGATCCACGAAGTCATGGCCACCAGATCCAAGATCTACCTCGTCATGGAACTCGCCGCCGGCGGCGAGCTTTTCTCCAAACTCCTCCGCCGCGGCCGTCTCCCCGAATCCACCGCCCGCCGCTACTTCCAGCAGCTCGCCTCCGCGCTCAGCTTCTCCCACCGCGACGGCGTCGCTCACCGCGACGTGAAGCCGCAGAACCTCCTCTTAGACAGCGAAGGGAACCTCAAGGTCTCCGACTTCGGCTTATCCGCCTTGCCGGAGCATCTCCGAGACGGATTGCTCCACACGGCGTGCGGTACGCCGGCGTACACGGCTCCCGAGGTTATATCGCGGCGGGGATACGACGGAGCGAAGGCTGACGCGTGGTCCTGCGGCGTGATTCTGTTCGTCCTCCTCGTCGGTGAAGTTCCGTTCGACGACTCGAATATCGCCTCGATGTATCGGAAGATTCAGCGGAGGGATTACAAGTTCCCGAGCTGGATCTCGAAGCAAGCGAAGTCGGTTATATACCAGATGCTTGATCCCAATCCTGTGACGAGGATGAGTATCGAGGCGGTTATGAAAACCGGGTGGTTTAATAAAGGCTTAGATGCTTCTGTTATTAATTTATGCGAACCGGAACCGGTTATGGAGAAGTTGAGTTCGATCACCGCTTTTGATTTGATCTCGCTTTCCTCGGGGTTGGATCTATCCGGTTTGTTTGAGAGTAAGAAGAAGAGAGAGAGGAGGTTCACGGCGAAGGTTTCGGCCGTGGAGGTGGAGGAGGAAGCGAAGGTGATTGGGGAGAGGTTGGGTTATACGGTGAGGAAGACGAAGAAGGAAGTTGTGTTGGGAAGTGGAAGGACGGCGATTGTTGTGGAGGCGGTGGAGTTAGCTGTGGGTGTTGTGGTGGTTGATGTGAAAGTTGTTGACGGAGAAGAAGGAGATTCACGGTGGTCCGATTTGATAACGGAGTTTGAAGTTGTAGTTCTCTCGTGGCACAGTGACGTCATGTAAATATTTTGTGACGTGTAGTTTTTTTTTGCTTTTTTGTTCAGTTTTGTTATAAGTGACGTCATAAGGAATTTCAGAAACGGCTTCAGAATCTTTGTCATCATTGATCTTTCGTTGTACATGTTGATCATACAGTTTGTGATGTATATACTTCGCGTCTTGTTACACGATTCAAGAAAATGTATATGGTTTATATATAACTCAACTATCTCTTCCATAGACGAGAGTGTTGTATGTACATTTATCCAGTGTGACACTATAACTCATTATGCTCTCAATTAATTCACAGCTCCTATCAATTTGTTACGCTTTGATCATCACATTGTACTTGATATTTGTTCCTTTTTTCCACTTCTTGGCAGCAGATAAATACTTTCCCTGCTGGTGTCTCGGATAAGAACCGGACTTGGATCATGGACTGGAAATGAGTATACAAAAAAATGGAAGACGCATTTTAAGGCAAGATTGGTTAAAAAGAGAATTCTCTCAGAAAGACGGCATTGATTATGTTGTTGAAGGTTTTCTGGAGATAGTTGAACATGAGGAGATGGAGCTGGAACAGTTAGATGTGAAGATGATGTTTCTTCATGGTGATCTAGAAGAAATGATTTGTATGCAACAGCCTGAATGGCCTACGGTTAAAGGAAATGAAGAGTGGTTTTGTTTACTCAAGAAGTCTTTCTATAACATGAAGTAAAGTTTAAGATTATGGAATAAAAAAACTGAGAAGGGATTCAATTCACAGTAAGTAAGCCTGATAGATGTGTATGTGTGAAGAAACTAGCTGATGGTTCGTATATCTACTGAAAAATGAAGCTTTTCAGATGAAAGATCTAGGTTGTGCTAATAAAATACTTGGTATGGAAATCAGCAGAAACAGGTCAGACAACTCTTGGTACTATGTAAGCTAAAACAGTTAAGACAACTCTTGGTACTCATTTTCAATCTTAAGTCAGGTAGAGCAGTAACTTGTGAAGAACACTATGATTTATACTTTGAAAAATCATGCAGACATGTTTATAAAGGACAGCTGCAAAGCTACGAATATGGCTAAACACAAGCTAGAGTTTGAAGCAAAAAATTTTTTGCGTCATTAGGTGGATATATGTGGAGACTAATGGACTCAAGTCAGCTGGGCTACGGACTTGTATTGGGTCTGTTTCTTGTTGAGCGGGAAGTGTTCTGGCCCACAAAAAAGCAACGATGTCGTTCCATGACAGAGCTCCGTCTTTGATGGCTACCTAACCCCCATACGTGAGATCACCACACCCCATAGCAGCCTTGGAATCGTGAGGAAACCCTCAACCACAAAAAGGTGAGGAAACCCTCAGCCACAAAAAGGTGAGGAAACCTATGAAAAAAAAAGAAATTATGATTTAACATATTCATAATCTTAGATATGTAATTGCCACATGTCACAATCATGTTAATTAGTAACTTTGAAAACCAAGCTTTATATAATAAGATGGGCTTCTTCATTACTGTTAAAGATTTTGAATAAGACTATGAAATTAAACTCTTTTCATCAAGAACATTGCTACATACGCATCTATATTGTGTATAATGTCCGTTTTGTACATAAAATTTCATCTATCTTTACATCAAACTCCAAATCTAAACACAAAAAATCAAACCAAACAAAAGGAAAAAAAAATCACTTGGAGATGGATCTATCTTCTGTTTTTGGTGTGGTCAAACTACTCAAACGCCGATCAGAATCAAATCAACAAGGGTTTCATCCATCAACAGCTCTCATCGAAATCTCTTCTTATATTCATCATCATCATAAGGCAGAGTCCAAAGCAAGAGCATCAGATCCTTTCATGATTCTGAGTCTCTTACAAGAGGAAGAGAACATATCCCATGGAACATCACCAACCAACATCCAATCTCCATCTTTATCCTCGTACGTTGGTACAACTCCAGATCCTTTGTATCCTTCCCTTTCGCTGTATTCACCGATTGTAAACTTGAACATGTTCTCTAAAGCCTTGAGAAGCTCTGGATAGTTTTTGTATGTTTTGAGATCTATTTTCCTAAGGTATGGAGCTCCATCCATACTTACTTTCACATAGCTCACACCATTGTTGTTGTTGTTCTTACGGTAAGATCTCACGGGAGGCCAACCAACGATTTGATTTCTGTAAATCAGTAAAGAATCATCATTAGTACAACAATTCATAAATAAATTTGAATTAATAGATTGAAACTCAAATATTGACTTACTTCGTAGGAGGTGTAGATTCTTCCTCGTTGTCGCTTTGTAGTTGACGCTTGTTGCTTCTAACGCAAGAAACCTCTTGTTCTTCCTTAACTTGTTCTGTTCCGGGTAGTCCAAGACGAAGCTCTGTGTCCTTAAGGTTAAGGTCATTGACTTTCTCCTGAGCCATTGCTTTTCAAGATGAAGATATCTCTCTCAATATGTTCTTGTGTAATATCCGAAACGTAGAAAACTTTTCTTGTTCTTTGTTGTTTGTTGTTCTTCTTCTTCTTGTTGGTGAGTTTGGTTGATGATGGATTTAGAGAAAAGAAAAGAGATATATAGAGGAGGGAGAAGCAGGGATTAAAGGAAGAGAGAGAGACGTTGTCGGAAGCATGAAAGGCAAGAAAGAGGCAAGGGGACAAAGGTGGGACACAAACACTCTGGCCGCCCATGTGGACTCGACTCTTTCTTTATTACACGCTCCTTATTTGCCTCCGCCAACTTTGCTTACGCTACGATATGTCTTTGCACAAAGGATATAATTATTATAAGGGACCTAAGAGAGGTTATAAAAATTAAATGAAATGATGAATGAGAATTGGAAGTCTATCGGCCGACCCGGAAACAAAGCGAACGGAATAAATATTATATTCTTTCTTTTTTTTTGTAACTGAATAAATATTATATTCTGATACATATTACTTGGTGATTCTGAATTGTAACAATTGAGAAAAACTTTTTCTGTTTTTATAAGTTTTGAATTATTGTATAATTTATATGTATAATAAAAAAATATGTATCATTATGTTTTCATCTCAATTAGATATTGATTATTATTTTTATTATTTATAATATTTATTTTTGATATGTTGAAGTATATCTATTCTCTTAAATTAGACAACAATTTTTATGATGTTGAAACTGAATTGTTATTTTCTTAAATTCAAATAGTTCAGTTCTGCCTCTTATATTTATAAGTAATTGTAAATACTTTTTATAAATTGGTATATATTACTTATGGAAAATAGGAAACATAAATATTAAATCGCAGTTGCATTAATAGACATAATTTGTAATATTTTGAAAATTCATACACACTAAATCATAATAATTGGTTGGTTTGATTGATCATATTAAGAACAACTGGTTATTCATATTTTAGTATATTAGATCGTGTCAATTTTCTTGAAATGATCACATTTTTTTTGTTACAGTTAAATTAAAATAAGAACATCTTATTAATCCTATATTGTTTACTTAGGGTGATACATATTTTTGTAAGATTATGCATAGTTTGATATATGTTGCTTGCAATTTTTTAAAAAATTGAAGTGTTGATTTTTTTGTTATAAAAATTCTAAGCATCTAATTAAAATATATTGATAATAAGAAAGATAAGTTATCTAGTTGCAGCCTCACATTATTAAATATATATTTGGTTATAGAATAATCATAAGATATAATCATTGTTTGGAAAAAAAGATATTAGATAATCATTTCTATGGCTTAAAATTATTTTTCTATTATTATTTTACTAAAAAAATATTTATAATAAAAATATTATTATATTTAAGAAATAATCTAAATTATTCTATTTTTTGAAGTTATGTTTATATATATATATATATATTTATAAGTATATATTTGTAAAATTAATAGATATTTTTCTATTTTTGTTGTTTTAGGAAACATAATGAATAATAAAACTAAAATAGTTTTACATAGAAATCTATCTTTATATTTTATATATCTGTCCTTTTCCTTATTTATGTCCTTTACTAAAAAGGAAAAAAAATAAAAAATAAATCACAATTTTATTAAGAAAAAGGAAACATAAATACTTGTGATTTATAGCTATCATAAATAATATTTTTAGTTTATTAAGTGTATTTTTGTAATCAACCGTAATAAGAATTAGTATGAACGCGACACGTATGAAACTGATTTCTCTAATAATATTGTAGAGATTCATTATTTTATAAACGTCTTTTTTGATATTTTAAAATTTTATATAGTATTTTTATTAATATTTTGGTAGAGAAGTATGAGCGTTGATAATCATTATGGGAAATGAGTTTTTAATTCCTCAACTAATTGAAATTAACATTTTTAATACCCAACTTTAGGTTATGCAGATTTATTCCTCAGGTGATCTCTAGCTATGCAAAATCAGAATTAAAAAAAAAAAAACAAACGTTACATACTAGACGGAGACGTTAAATCCCAGAAACAGAGATCAAGTTTTCTTTATAGAACCCAGAAATCTCTGTAATTGCCTCTTCTTCTTCATTCTTTATCGCTTTTTAATCCAAATTTTTTATTTCTTCTTTTTCGAGCACATTCCTTGTCTCTTCTTTGTTCCTCAATTTTATAAGTTGTTTCTTCTTCAGCCGAAATATATGTCTTCTTCAAGTGTATTATTCGGCATTCCTCCTTCTAATAATATTGCTTTTCTTCTTCTTCAATAACAGTCTTGGAGTCAAAATTAATGAAAAAGATTGTAACAAACATTAACCAGACACTATACAATTCACGTAATAAAAAAGATTGAAGCTACTTTCATTTTTTTTTTTCTTTTGTAAACTATACAAATATTCTTTGTTGATTTTGGAACTTTAGGTTCTACACAACTCAAGGGTTTTCATCTTCTTCCACGTTCCAGTGAAAATTTTCACCATCTCCTCACCACAAATTGTCTTTCTCTTTCGAAATCTCTATAAGACTTGAAGAGAAGTTGGGATTCTCTCAGTTTCCAAAGCGAAAGAGGATTCTTGTTTTGTTTTAGATTTAATGTCTCCGTCTCCGTCACTAATTAACGGTTTAACTTTTAGTCTAATTTTACACAATTAAACATAACTTCAGGAATAAATCTGCCCAACCTAGAGTTGGGTATTAAAAATGCTAATTTCAAATAGATGAGGAATTAAAAACCTATTTTCCCGTCTACTTTTCATTGGTTAGTGTTGTTTAAAAGATTTTTGTTCCTTAAATGGTGTCGTGTAGAAGTTTAATATTTTCTATGTTTCATCATACGATATTTCCTTAAATGGTGTCGTGTAGAAGTTTAATATTTTCTATGTTTCATCATACGATATTTTATAAGTTTTTTGATGTTTTAAATATAAGATATTTTAAATATTTATGTTAACTTTAACTATATTAAAAATGTTCAACCAATTACATTTTACATTTTTTAATGAGTAAATTGTTTTTAAATTTTTTTGATAATTCTTTTTAAATAAGAACAATCTTTTTAATTTGTGTGTTGTGGGCATAATATCTTGTAATATGAAATAGAGGGGGTGTAAGTTTTGTTTGAGAATGTTTTGTTGTCTTTCCTGTAACCATATAAAGACATTAATATGTACCATGGGATATAATTTAAGAGATGTTTTGAAAGGGTATAATTAGAAAGATTCATAACTTTTTATATCAATGTGGAAACTGTAATATTGACACTTCTACTAAACGAAAGAGAAATTAATAAATAACTAGATTTTAATCTACGCAACCGCGTGGATGTTTTTTTAGAATTGAATTGAGGAAATTGTAAATTATGTCGGTTGCGTATTTTGGTTTTACATGGTGAAACAATCAAATTGATATCTTAGATAAATAACTTGGAATTTGATAATTCTGTACAAAGCATAATGTTTCATTTTTATTTTTAAGATATATATTTTTGATAAAAAATTTTTTAGGTCTATCCTAGAGAATTTCTCATGTATATATAATCATATATTATGATTGCATAATATATAATTTTTTTTGCTTAAAGACGTACCTACAAAATAATTAAGGTCTACAAAATAATTATATATGTTGTTAATACTTATTAGATTAATATGTTGAAATAATTTTTATAAATCAGTTGGTATATTTAATTTATTAGTTTTGCATACAGATTTTTTATTTTAGCATACTAAAAAAATTTGAGATTCCTTTTACAAATAGTATATTGTTGGTTTATTAATATATTAATAAGAAATATTTGTGACTATATTTATTATAAAAATAAATGATAAAATAATTAAATGTGATGATTTTTTAAGAAATAGTTTAAAATGAAATATCACACATGAAAGAGTCATGAATTCTATTTTAATATATAAGATGTCATTGAAATCATAATTTCGTGATGGGATTTCATAGAGTTTCCAAGTACTCTTCTAGATCATCAACTTTGAAGTTGCATAAACTGTTGTCTACCTCGTTCACATTTACAATTGCGCGTATTAATATGTTTTACTTTATATAAATGCTATCAGTTTATGTCTAAATCGAACATTATACCGATATCATACATCAGAGCTTTTTAGTATCATGGGAAATTTTTCCTCATCATAATTTGCACTCCATTTGTATAGTGTGAATTGGAAAATGTTAATAATATAGATTAATTGAGAATAAGGAGAGAGACCCATGTGGATAAGGGTCGAATGTGTTGGTAATTGGTAGAGGAATGGTAAAGCCATGTGCTTTCTTATACACTTGTCTCTTTTATTCGTAAATTATTTTCCTTAAAAGAAGTTATGGGGAGAGGCTCCACGTTATATACATTGAATCATAGAACCTAAAAGTATGAACCAAAGTGGTAATTTTAATTCTCCCAATAGTTTACGCGAACCTATGTTAATTTAGCTTCTAATCCGCATGCGTTTTGATGTTTACGTTGGGTTTTACTCAGTGAATTACCAATTTTAGATATAAATGTTTTCTACTTTTGAGATAAAGATTCCTTCTATGTTCTTGCCTCCTCCAGTATCCCAAAGTTTAGATAAGTAAGATGCAAGATACGTAGTCTCTCTAATTAACCCTCGTCTTATGTATATTTTAGAGGTTATGATTGTCAGAGTTTCATGTGTTAATTCAGTTATACACTCCTGCATTGTATTTGCTCACTATTTAAGAGAAGCATGCCCGAGTGGATATTCTTTTTTATTTTTTTGTAAATTGCAAGTGAGAATATTTTAGTTAACCGCATATTTTTTTAATCACTTCATAGTGGGAAACTGAGTTCTAGGAAATATTTCTTCTTTTTTTCTATGTTTGTGCGATGATGATGCATGTTTTAGTGTTGTTGATACCGAAACTTTGAAAAACTTCTAAAAATAGGATGCGCTCCCATATCTCAATTAGGAGTACCCGCTAAAAATATCTACTAGATCTCTGCGATGCTTATATGGATGTTTGCTAAAGCTAGTTCACCGATTTGAGAAAACATGAGAGTAATAATTGACTGGTATGTATTTGTCGAGTTAAAACATGTATATATTTTAGCAAAAAAAAAACATGTAAGTAAGCAAAAAA